AAAATCCCCCAATCCAGGTGTGCAAAGCTTGTCGCGTCATACCGAAAAAGACTCGAGGCTGCAATTGCTGCCAAAGGTGCTTCAACGAAGTACTAGTAAAGGGTCTGAATACTTAAGTGCATGTTATATTTCAGTTTTTTCTTTTTAATAAATTTACAGACATTTCTAAACTTCTGTTTTCACTTTGTCATTATGGGGTACTGAATGTAGATTAATGAGGAAAAAAAATGAATTTGAACAAGTGTAGTATCAGCCTGCAACATAACAAAACTGAAAAAAGTGAAGGGGGTCTGATTACTTTCCGAATGTATTTACATTTAATTTTACCAACTGGCTTGTATTCTTGGGTTTTTACATCTTTGGATTATTTCCTATCACAAACACCTTTCCTGGTTTTTGGCAAGATATATTCCTTATGTTTCATTTTTATATATAATTATTCAACAGTAGAGAGCTTGATTTTGTAATCATTGAAAAGCAAATTATTCAACCTGCTGAACAATTACGATGAAAATGGCACTGAAATATAAGTGAAGATGTGATGGGAAGACATTGCTCACATACTGTCAACAGGGCCATGTGTAAATATATTCAGCGAAAATAATACAGTTTTGATTCCTAGGCTACTAAGATCCCTTCTATGAAATACATAAACAACGGAAACAGGGAAAAATACAGTCTCCGGATTTTTTTTAATAAACAAAAAAGGTGTAAGAATAAACTATTGCCACTTTATTAAATATTAAGACCCTTTTTAGTAGACAATTTGCACATATAGTTCCAAGTCTGATAATATATATTCTTGGAAAATATATTCAAGATTGGCTTCTTTAGACCAGAGTCCCAACATAGCAATTTCTCAGGGGGCATTTATAAATCTCTTGCAATCAATAGACATCATTTGGCAAGCAATTTTTTTTTTTAGGAACTGTGAAGAGTATTTTGCACTCACCACTAATGTACACAGCTGAGTTTTCAAAACTTGCTCACTTGCAAAAAACGCCTTGTTATTTTTCCAATATGGGAAAGAATGTTGAACAAATGCATTTTTGGAAACAAGGCTGATTTAACTTTTTAAAAAGCATTCCTGTCTAAAAGAATTTGTCTTTCTTCTTTTTGACACGGGATTATTTCATCCTTTTATGATTTTGCTTTCAAACAATATAGGATTTTTTTTTTGTTTTGCTCAAGAAAGAGTAAAGGGATTGCCAAAGATGGAAAAAATGTTAAAGCAACAGATGGTATGGTAAAGGACGGAGATATATGTTATAGTTGTTTGTAAGTACTTATTGTAAGCAGGCTTGAAACTAGAAAATGTTTCTGGAAAAGGGGCTTTTAATAAGCCCTTATAGGAAGCCCCTTTTTTCATTAACAAATAATTATATCCACTACTATGTTAAGTTTACATTTGCAAGAATCAAGGTCCACATTGTTGCACTCCCAACCTTTTAGGGTCTAAGGCAGTGTTTCTCAAGCTTGGCAACTTTAAGATGGGTGGACTTCAACTTCCAGAATTCCCCAGCCACTGTAGCTGGCTGGGGAATTCTGGGAGTTGAAGTCCACCCATCTTCAAATTGCCAAGCTTGAGAAACACTGGTCTAAGGATTGCATCTAACATTTTCGGGGGGAGGCAAGGGCTTGAAAGCCAATGGGACATCCCACATGATAGCAAGGTTAGGTTTTAAAGAGAATTTGGGTGACATTTTTTGTTTTTATTATTTTAAGGCTTCAGTATATGTTTATTTATTTTATTATTTTAAGGCTTCAGTATATGTTTATGTGCCTCATATCTCAAAATGTCAGGAAACCAATTTTCAGCCATTATAGTTAGGAGTTTCAGGGGCTGAAAAATGAAGGCACAGGGGCTGCAAATGAGGTCCTGGCACTGTGGGTTGTCCATCCATGCATTAGATCAATTTTTTAAAAACATCTCATTTTTTTTCTTCAAAAGTATTCAAAAAGGAAATGTGTTATGAGTTTCATCTGCAAGAATGAAATCCAGTATACACAAATCACAGCTGCTGCTAGGTACCAGGCTTCTAAAGAAATATCTGATTCCATACTAATTCTTCCAGCAAACTGGTAGACTACAATAAATTTCAAGTTCAAAATACTTTATGAAAAATTTGTGAGCCTAGAAAAGATTTCAGCTTTGCATTCAGATCCCTGGAGAAGTATGTGAAAGAGACAGAAAGGACAAAGTTACTTGTGGAGAACCAAATTACTTAATTCTAAACTGATTACAGTCAGACATGGCATTCCAGGCTGCCAGATTTTTAAGTACTTTTAAAAGTATGCTTATCATTTAATAGCTATTATACTTTTGGACACAATAATCTCTTATCTGATGAATTTGTATATCCATATACAATCAATAAAACAATAACCAATGCCCTACCTTTAAGTCTATGCAATGTAAACACTGATGGCTTGCAAACAGTAATCACTGATTTCATGTGCTGTGTGCTTGTGTATAAAAAAGGTAGTAAAACCATAAGGTATTTGTTAAGAGATTTAAGGGGGATGTAAAAAAGAAACATTAGCACATTTAAAAGAGATACCAATTCTTTAATCCCAAACTACTATCAGAGTATTTCCTAAAAATAAAAAATAGGTTGAAGAAACATAATAGCACACTTAACAGATTAGTATCATTTACAGTACTGTACAAAAGTTTTAGGCAGGTGTGAAAAAATGCTGTAAAGTAAGAATGCTTTCAAAAATATATATTGT